TTTTTTATCTTCATGATTATAGCCATTCTAACGGGCGTGAGATGATATCTTAGTGTTGTTTTGATTTGCATTTCCCTGATGATTAGTGACGTTGAACATCTTTTCATGTGCCTACTGGCCATCTGTATATCTTCTTTGGAGAAGTGTCTGTTCATTTCCTCTGCCCATTTTTTGATCGGGTTGTTTGTTTTTTTGTTGTTCAGTTGTGTGAGTTCTTTATATATTATGGAGATTAACCCCTTGTCAGATATATGTTTTGCAAATATTTTCTCCCAGCTGGTGGGTGGAGCATTTTAATTATAATTTTTTAGTAAGAAATCAAATCTTTACGAGCATCATCCTGTGTTGATCCTTTCTGGTTATGAGAAAGAAAACAAGGGCTAGAATGATCTCAATTCAGGTCAGAGTTCCTGACCTGAAAATGTGGAATGAGTGTAAAGTTGTCCAAGCAGAATGACGGCACAATACTTAATGAATGTCCAAAGTACAAGTATTGAAATTGACCACCAGATGAGTAGGCCCCATTTGGAAGCCTGCAGAAAGGATGAGGTCTGTTTACTGTGCTGGACTTGGGTACACAGCCAGAGCTGTGAACCTGAATTGGTTTCTGAACCTCACAGAGCCCTATTTCTCCATTGATTGGCAATTACCTGCAAATAGGCATGCTTCTTCACCAAAGTCACCTACCCTCAGTATAGTCCTGCATACATGCCATAGCGGATGCTTATGCACATAGGACCTGCCCTGGTACCCACCTGTGGGTCCCAGTGTATGCCATGTGTGTCTTCATAGGAATCAAGTAGCTTTTTCTTTAAAGTCAGCTCTCAGAAAAGAAGGAGTTGCCTTATATTTGAGTCTTCACAATGTCTCTCACACTATAAGGCCCTCTATTAATTAAATTTTATTTTATAATTATTTTTAAATCATTTAAAAATAGTGCACATGCACAAGTGAAAAATTCAAAAGGTATAAGTGAGCATTCAATTAAAAGGTAAGTCTTCCTAGTATCCATGTCTCCCAGTTGCCCAGGTCCCATCCTCAGGGACAAACATTGTTACACACACACACACACACACACACACACACACACAGACACTAGCACCTAACTGGTAGCACAATATTCAAATAATTATGCACCTTTCTTTTTTTCATTTAACAATATATTTTAGAGATAGTTTATATTAATTTATTTTGAACAAAAAAACTAAGACTAAGAGAAATTAACTTAAAAATGTATTGAGAAATTAATACTAATTTTGGATATTTATAGGACATCACCTAACAAGATCAGTAATTAAAAAAGAGAGAAAGAGAAAAAAGTTGGAAGGAGTTTAAGATTTCATATGCCTTTTTATTTTTTATTTTTTTGTGAGGAAGATCAGCCCTGAGCTAACATCCGTGCTAATCCTCCTCTTTTTGCTGAGGAAGACCAGCTCTGAGCTAACATCTATTGCCAATCCTCCTCCTTTTTTTTTCCCCAAAGCCCCAGTAGATAGCCATGTGTTATAGTTGCACAGCCTTCTAGTTGCTGTATGTGGGACGCCACCTCAGCATGGCCAGAGAAGCGGTGAGTCGGTGCGCGCCCGGGATCCAAACCCCGGCCACCAGTAGCGGAGCGCGCGCACTTAACTGCTAAGCCACGGGGCCAGCCCTCATGTGCCTTTTAAAGATCACTTTAGGAAGCAATCCAATTCTGATTACAGCAATATGGGGGACTCAGTGTCTGGAAAAAAACTAAAATTTCTGGAGAAAATATTTACAAACATCTTTGCAAACACATCTCAGCAGGCAGAAAAATAAGAGAAAACCTTAAAGTCCAGAAATGATTAGAAAACACAAACGCAGGCGTGTAAGGAGACACAGAGCTGGTGTTTGCTCGGGAGGGCCCTGTAGGTGTGAGGAGACCTGTAGCCTATGTTTTAATGGGCCTGCAAGGGCTCCAGAGACAAAGCCCATGTGAGGTGGAAGGTGGGATCAGGGAAGCTTACCTGGAGCTGCAGCCCCCAAAGATGATGCCCTCAGTAAGTCAAGCGGAAGAGTCTACCCCTCAGAGAGCTCTGGTGGGCTGCTTTCCTGTCTCAGCCTTGGCCCTAGGAGGAAGGGAAAAAAGTGTCTCCCTTTGAGAGTTCAATCACAAGCACATTCTCATGCAGATTTGGTGTCAGAATTCACATTACTTGTTTGGCCTGAAACTGACCAAGTGAAATTTATCGTGAAGCGGTACTGTGTTGTGGCACTCCCAGGAGATCTGTGCCACAAATGCAAATCCTCTGTGGAGAAATGACTTTTAAGTCCAGCCCTCAAGAATTCCCACAGATAAAGATCCAAGGAATATGAGCTCCTAGTCAAAAATCATAAAAGATAAAAATAAATAAGTCACCAAAGTCCAGAAGAAGCACCAGACAATAGAAGGAGGCCCACAAAGACTGCAGATGTTGAATTTATCTTATAAGGAACATGAAGCAAGAATGTTAATATAGTTTAAGAAACAAAGAGTAACAAACGTATTGTGCCGGAACAAGAAAATGATCTAGGAGTTATGAAAAAGAATCAAAGATAATTTCTATACAAAAAGAATATATAATAATTAAAATTTAAAACTCAATGAATGAATTAAAGAGCAGATAAGATGGTGAACTAGTAGATTTGAAGGAGTTACCTAGAAGGCAGACGGGAAGAAATGGGAAATATCTGAGAGGTTAGGAGATATAAAAACTGGAGTAAGAAGTCTAACAAGCATCTATCCAAGTTCCAGAAGGAGAGGATAAAAAAACCTGGGAGAGAAGTCACATTTGAAGCAAATGCCATAGACATGTCCTTAAGAGGTAACAAGAAACTAATAAACATATGAGAAGATGAACCTCATTATTAATCAAGGAAATGCAAATTGTAACCAACATGAGATGCTATTTCACACCCAGGAAATTGGAAAAAATTGAAGAGTCTACCGTAGTGTTTAAGTGTAAATGGGGAGCAGTGGGAACTCTAATAAATAGCAGACAGACATGTAAATCAGTACTATCATTTTGTTACCTAAAAATATGCTGTTGATAGTAAGGACTATGAATGTGGAATAAATCAGCAAAGTAGGTTTATTCATCCGTTCATTCAATATTTACTGAACACCCATACTCAGGAATTATATTAGAATAAAAAAAAAATCAGTCCTTACCCAAAGGAGCCTAGGATCTAGTGGGTCAAATAATCAGAGATCACACAAATAAACATAAAACTATACCCATGAAAGAAAGGTCCGTGTGAGAGCTCATAAGAGTGGGAATTAGCTGTGGGGTCAGGGAAGGCTTTCCTGAGGAAGTGATGACTGAGAGGAGCCAAGAGAGAAGAGGACGTAAGTAGAAGGTGGTGGTGCTGATGGCCAGGGGAATCGCCACTGCCAGAGGGAACAACATGTGCAAATGCCCTGATGTGGAAGACAGCATTTAGTTGCAGGGATTGAAAAAAGGCCAGTGTGGCTGGAACAAAGGGAGAGAGAAATTGAGAGAAAATAGGGTGGGGGAGAGAGGGGTGCTAGTGGCAGTCAGACTAGCTGGAGTGGAGAGGAAGGCATAGGCCAGACCAGGAAGGAAGGGCTTGGGGCCATGGGAAGGATTTGGGCTTTTGTACTAGGACAATGGAGGTTATTGACATGTTTTTAAGCAGGAGACTGAAATGATGAGTGGATGAAGAGAAAAAAAATAAAAGACGACGACCATCAATTAATTATAAATCTAAAAATTGCATTAGGAAATGGAGTTAAAATTCTCTGTAACCACACTGCTTTGCCCACTTGTATGTGACTGTGCCGAGAATGGCCCCATTCCTAGTTACTAACAACAGCTGGGCGCATCTGTTCTCACACTGCAAGCTCGGCTCTGCCTCTCACAGTACGACCAGGATGGTACCCCTGATTCATAAGCCCTCCCGCCACCTCCTCAACAATAGCACGTGAGATTCAGGCCCCGCTGGTGATTCACTTGATGACGCAGGAAGCATAATTGAATACATTTTACTGCTTTGCAGCCAGAGTAAATGATTTCTCCATTGTTGAGAGTAAAAACCAATTTGTCAGTAAATGAAGCAGATATGATTCAAAAGAAGCAGAAGGACACTGAGAAGTATAATGTGTTGTGTCTTTTCTGTTGGTGACTGCATTCACTACAAAATGGTAACCACGGGAAGCCACATTCCCATTCTGAAATTTATAGTACAGCAAACTATTCCAGATTCTCAGTGTCTGTGGCCCTTGATAGCTCAAATTCCTTTCTTTTTAACACCTTTATTGACATGCCATAAATGACCCATATTTAAAGAATACAATCTGATAAGTTTTGAGACATGTATAAAGCCATAAAACCATCACTACAATCAAGATAGTGACATATTCATCAATCCCCAAATTTCTTTCTGCCCCTCCTCATCCTGACCTGCCCTTCCTCAATCCCAAACAACTCAAGTTTAAATTTAATCATTCTTTTAATCAAAATTCGGTAGACTTGTAAGATATGTTGGAATACAATCTCTAAAAAGGCCTTTCTGGGGCCGGCCCCGTGGCTTAGCGGTTAAGTGCGTGCGCTCCGCTGCTGGCGGCCAGGGTTTGGATCCTGGGGGCACACCGACGCACCGCTTCTCCGGCCATGCTGAGGCCGAGTCCCACATACAGCAACTAGAAGGATGTGCAGCTATGACATACAACTATCTACTGGGGCTTTGGGGGGAAAAAATAAATAAATAAAATCTTTAAAAAAAAATAAATAAATAAATAAATAAAAAGGCCTTTCTGATCTCTTATCTTATCCAATTCACTATAAATATCCACCTTTCTGATGAAAGTCATACTGTAGAATAAAACCTATTTATTTCCTCAGGAGTTGTAAGTCTTTGGGAATAATTTAATTTTTCTAAAAATCCCGTGAGTTGAGTGTGCTGCTGGGAAGGAAAGAGTGTAGCCTCAGATTCTGTGGTTAATGCCACCATCATTAATGTTTACATCTGCTTTTCAGATCCCACTTGTGGTGAAGAGGAAGGAACGGTCTCCACGAAGGGCACCTCTGTTCAGAGCATTGAGCTTGTCCTCCCACCCCATGCAAACCATCAAGGAAATACATTTGGTGGCCAGATTATGGCTTGGATGGAGACCGTGGCTACTATTTCTGCAAGGTTCTTGATTTTGACCTTCGGCATGTCATGATGGGGCCAGTAGGGAGAGAATAGGAAGGGTCTGAGACCCAGTTATTGGGCGAGTCAAGGAGACAAGGAAAGGGCAATGTTGCCTTTTATCAAAATGAGAAAACGATAAGTCACTTACCTGTTTACCTTGGGATTAATCTGTACTTTTGTTTGAAGGTGAATATTTAAGTTCTTGGTTCAAAAATAAAAATGAAATGACAGTTCTAATATGTTATTCTGAATTATGAATGTAGAGCTTGTAACACTGCAACTCCTTGTAACAATAGTTATGACAAAGTAGGTGAAGAATAGAAATAGAAGACAGCCTTTACACTTAAAAATAGTCGAGTTGCAAACTTTTTTAAAAGCAATTTACAAATGCGTCTGACCTTTGAAGGTGCTGGTTGGAATCATTATGCCAGAGGATTAACTGAAAAATCAGACAAGAAAGAGGGAAGAACTTGAAAGAATACTTTTAAATCAGTTTCAAAAATATTTATTTTATTTTAAATGGAACTATGTAGGTAATTGAGCAGCCTTAAAGAACATTGTGTACTCTGAATTTGAACAGGATCTGCCCTTCTGACAATTTTAGTAACCACCAAAAATTAAAGTTTTATTTTCCCCAAATTAAAAGGATTTTATTATTAATATGTCTATAGTTATGACTATAGTTAGAAACCTGTAGTTAGCCTTCCTGTAAATTACGCACAAATATCAGAGAGCTTATTTTTAAAATGAGATTGTCATTCTTAATGACAATAAAGCATTTGAACCTGTCTATTGTAAAGGCTTACAATATAATTAACTATGGCAGAATCTGTCTACTTAGTGTTGGCACAATTCTTGAGAGTAATTGAATATCTACAGTGGGAGTCTAAAATATAGAAAATTATGGAAGTAGCTTTCTGAGATTAAATATTCATTATAGATATTTCAAAATTTCGCACACAAAGAAATTGTAAAATGTATACCTTGTAGCCTTTCAGGCTTTGTACAGCCAGGTAATTTTTCTGTGGGGAAAAAAAATTAGTCTGGATATGTGGGTGAGTTCAGTTAACTGTGCAGCTAAGGAGCTAGTGTGAATGGCACCAGCTGGCAGTTCTCGTCCCTATGCCCGCTCCAACCTGGGAGACACGGCTTCCTGTGATTGCAGACATGAGCTGTCAGGATGAACACCCTCAAATTAGAACAAAAGACATTGGTTTGTTTTTCGGAGGGACTTCCACAGGGAACAAACCAAGAGCAGAAGCACCAGCATCTTAGTAAAGACCCCACTGGCTTGGGACCATGGTATTTCCCATAGTATTTGCAAGGAGGGTACAGAACAACTCTCAACACACACAATCTGGTTATTTATTTCACTCGAGTTAAAAGAGATGTTTATTTAGAAAGCACACTGAACACTGGTCTATTGCTTCCGTTAAGTGAATCAGCAGTTCCTGAAAATATTTTGGAGAATGATCACTTTCTTCTCTCTGTCTCCTTCCCTTTGTTTCATCAGCCGCCTCTGTCGAGCACATCCCCTTCTGAAGTCCGTGGACATGTTTAAGTTCCGGGGACCATCTACGGTTGGAGATCGTCTTGTCTTCAATGCCGTTGTCAACAATACGTTTCAGACCCGGTAAAACCTGTCTAGTGCTGTTAGGCTGCTATACACGAATTCAACTTGCACATAAATGATTTCTTTAAATTTTTACTTCAATCGGGAGGTGACTGTAGGGATTACTTTAAAGAAAGCAAGTTCCTTCTAATTTTTCTTTGAAACTTCACTCAATCTTCAAAATCCGTAGACACACGTTATAATCCTCTGTTCTGCTTGAGGCCTCCTTACACTGAGTAAATTGTGATAGATTGTGTTTTGATTCATAATAAGTGTGACTGTATGGCCCAGGTGACCTGGGATGGTCCTAGTTTGTACCTGTCATGATTATTAACTCTTCCTTCTGCTCTGAAAAGGGTCCCAGCGACTATATGGTCAACCAATTCATAATGGACCTGTCATTTAGCACCATGGAGTCCAAACCACTTCCCAGATATTTTTATTACTCTTGATACACAATGAAAAGATTTAATTTACTATTTTTTCTTTTTAAATGTAGAAAAGAATACCTATATTTCCTGTCCAATTTCAGTATTTGATGCTTTTTAATTACAAAACTGTTGTTTTTAGAGGAGAAAACTTGACTTTGGCACAATTTAACCCCCCTCTCCATTACCAAAATATGTTCATGAATGTATATAAAGTCCCAACTGGCCTTTTTCCCACTTCAAAGTGGGAAAGTAAAGTGGAAATGCTCCCAGGGGCTTGTGCGTCAGATCCATGGACCTGATGAAATAGATTTTAACAGTTGCATACCATTGCAGACAACAAAGAAAAAACCCCGGGCCCTCATTCTCTTCCCTGCTTGGTGGTGGCAGGGGGTAGAGGAGGCCTAGTGCGCTCTGGTCATCTGCCCACTGCTGTGTGTCGCCTTCTGCAGCCTCGAAGTGGGAGTGCGCGTGGAGGCCTTTGACTGCCAGGAGTGGTCTGAGGGCCGGGGCCGCCACATCAACAGTGCTTTTCTCATCTACAATGCTGTCGATGATAAGGGAGAACTGGTCACATTTCCCAGAATCAAACCCATGTCAAAGGTCAGTTATAAGCAAGTGAGCTTCAGTAATCAGACCACTTATCCTGGGGGAAGGTGTGGGTACAGAGCTCCACCCAGAATCTCTCCTCACACCAGCAACAACCTCCAGGGCTATTCCACTTTGGTTTTCTTTCTTTTCTGCATCACAAAGTGTAATGGGATTTTTCTTTTTTTCCCCAAATCACTCTAATCATTCATTGAAATGATGGAGGCCCTGAAGATGTTACCCAGCAAGAGCCCAGTGCCCAACACATATAGAAGCCAATACTATGGCATCAGCTTTTGAGAAAACAAACAGCTTTATTGCATGGCCAACCTGCAAGGAGACAGGAGGCAAAGCTCAAATCTGTCTCCCCGAGCTGAAGCAGGGATAGACTGTTAAGGAGTTGGGAGTGGGAGTGGTTACAAAATGCTAGCTTGGTGGAATCTGATTGGATGGTGGGAGTGTAAGGGTCTTATAAGTCCTACGTGCTACAAATCAAGGGACCCCTCGCTTCTTATTAGGTTCCCTGTACCCTTTTTTCAGTTCTGTAGTTAGGAAACTTTTGGTTCCCAGGCATTTCGAGGTCATCTGGGGACGAGGTTTCCATCTTCTGCACATGCTGCAGCTACGTGACTTGCAGTTTTTGCTCATTGCCTCTGCAAGATAACTTTGGTATTTTGTTATTGATACAATAGGGCAGGTACAAACTGGCCTATGATGGTTACAGAGACCCCACCTCTACTTGGCCACGTGCTGCTTTTGGAAGTAGATCATCTTCCTTGCCCCATTTCTGACTCTTTTCTCCCACTTTACATCCAGTTCTCTGTGCTGCTCCACATTCATGGAAACTATGCCTTCCCTGCATCCTGGAGTTGCCTTATTGCCAACTCTCACCTGAGGATAGTCCACACAGAGACACTGTGTCCCAATTAATCTTTTCAACTGACTTAGAACAGAGAAACTTAAGGACTATAGCACTAAAGTCTTAGATATTTATTGATTTTACTTTTTTTTATTAAAGGATGATTTTAGACGATATCATGGAGCTATTGCACGCAAGAGAATTCGCCTAGGCAGGTAAGAGACATAGGTGTAAAGATTTTATGGAATCTTTTCTTATCTGACAAATTATTATAACAAAAAGCCCCTCTGGGTCTCTATTCCCACATAATGTAAAAAGAGAAGGTCTGATGTTTTCTCACTGTGGAGGCTATTGTGATAAAAATTGTTCTTCCTGGTTGTTCCACCAGTAAAAGCGGCTTTTTAAAACTGCAGATTTCAGTTAAAGAGTCAGAGTTACTGTTGTGTGCTAAATGTGGGGAAGAAAACTGTTATTTAACATTTTAATTTTTTTTCCAGAAAATATGTTATTTCCCACAAAGAAGAGGTTCCACTTTGTGTACACTGGGATATTAGCAAGCAGGTGACAGCTTTCTGATTTGGAGCTCTTCATGTAAAAATCACATCATTACAAAAATGGAAATCCCCTTGTTTAACTGATTCAGGTTGTGCCTACATAGGGAGATGAAAAGGTGAATTATAGCAGCCAGTCATCTCAAAATGAAACAAAACCAGGCTCTCGGTAACTGGTTACCAACCAGTTGCTTCACACCTTGTTTGAATTATATACACAGTTCCAAAATTGCAGACTAGGGATGCTCTACCATCAAATGCATTCAAGCAGCATGAGACATTGAGATCTGGTGTGTTAACTGTGATTTTGCTGAATGATATGCCCACCAGCTTGCATTTTTCTAACACAGGAACAGAATACTAGTCGTTTCAAAATTTCTGACCAGAAAATGTAAAAGGAAATTCAAGTTTACTTATTACATGTTGATTACAAGTCACACTGAAAGGTGATCTTCTCTTTGCTCAGGACGCCAATTACAATGATACTAATTTGCTAAGCGTGCAGGCCTCATATTACCTTGCCTGAATTCTGAATTAAGAGTTTGAGACAGAAATCACGTTACCTGTAGCTTAGTTCTAAGCTCAACATTATCGCTTTGGCTCTAACAATGCCCATTTTCTAAGCAGAAAATGTTTGATTGCATGTCTGTGCATTGAACTCACAGCTTTTAAAATACTTGTGTTTTAGGTATCCCTGAGTAATGACAATGTGGAGGCTCTCAAAAACTTGGCAGCCAGAAGTGGTTGGGAGGTGACCAGTGCTGCAGAAAAGGTAGGAGGCACCAGGTGTGCCCACCACCCATTGTCCGTCACGACTGAAAGTTGTCCTGGTGGTGGTGGTTCCGCTGCTTCTACTGCCGCTTTTAAGAAGGTAAAAATCCTTGTGGGGAAACTATTTCTAAGAGTCAAGTATCTTCCAGCCCTGTCTCTACTCCTCCACGCTGGCTGATTTGGGGTCCTTCAAATACGCCCTGCGCATTCCTCCCCCCTGAGCTTTGTTTTCATATTCCACCCCTCTCTCCTTCTCCTCTGCCTCTGCCCCAATCCTGCTTGGTCTTCAAGACCCAGGACAAACGCTTCTCCATAAAGCCACTCCTACCACCTCTGGCTGAAGGAACTTCTCCATCCAGGAAATCCTTTAGCAATTACTTCTGTAAAATTAACTTGTCAATTAATTATGTATTGTCTTGTGACGTTTCTTCCACAGCTTCGTTGAGTTGATATTTAAGTCTTACGTAGTAATTTAACTTTTTACGCATGGTCTTTTCCCCTAACTAGATTATAAACTTCTTAAGAAAAGAGCCTTGTCTTGACTTATTTGTATCTCTCTTAGCACCTTTTACAGTGTTTTGCGTGTCATCAAATTTAAATAAACGTGTATCTTTCGGATTTTAATTTTCTCTAATGTCAGAGGTATATCAGGAGACCCTTGGAGCTGATGCCCACCCTAACTGGACTGTAAGTTCTCTGAGGGCTGTTTGCTCACCACTGTAGTCCCGGAACATAGCAGTGCCTGGCGCTCGGGAGATGCTCAGTGATGCCAGCTCTTTGTCTGTGTTCACGGTTCACTATGTACTGTTTTTCATCTTCAATGAAGCAGTAGCCTCTAAAATAGGGTGACCATGTGTCCTGGTGTTCCTGGAACAGTCCTGGTTTACACCTGTTGTCCCATCATAATTGTTAATAGTGTTTCAGTTTGGGTGACAAATTATATGATCAGTTACCCTAAAATCAAGCAAACTCAGATGCTATTTCACTGATTCTTTTCAACTCTGACTGTGACCTCCTCTGTGTGTATTGTTCTTGGTTGTTTGCTTTTATTACGTCTTTGTCCTCACTGCTGAATCCTTTCAAGGTCTTCCCTACCCCCTCTGGATCCAGTTAGGTTTCCGTCGGAGCTTGCTTCAGTGACGCAGAAACACAGGTTTAACATAAAGTTATTTGTTTCTCTTTGTCCCTCATAAAAGATGCTTCAAGACTTTGTTTTCTTTCACTAATATGAAATCTGCTTCTTGCATCAGTGCTGGCATCTGAGCATTCTTGAGCAGTGTTGGAAAGGACAAAGTCATGTCTGGAATGAAGGAAAAGAACGTGTGTAGTGAAGTTGTATAATATATTAAAACTTCAGCTCTTTGGGAGTTTGGGGCCAGAAACAAACTGAAACAAATAAACTGTATGTTTGCCAATGTCTTAAGAGAGCCATCAATAATTAAGTCTTAATTTTTTACAGATGCTTATTAGAGGATACTGTATAATTAAAGGAACATTCTTATGTTATCTGTTGAATTTGAGCCCTCTTTTTTAGATTATATTTATGATAAAAATCTGATTTTTTCTTTCTGTTATCTGCCTCTTCTCTCTCGCTTTTTAAGTTTTATATGCTTTTAATTTTTAAGTACAGCTCACTTATTTTTTGTCACCTTTTAGTTGAATGATTCTTACAACTGTCTGTTAAGAATCATACTTATTTCAGATTTTAAAATCTATACTTATTTTTGATGTAAATTAGTTAGATGTCAAAATCTAAGATTTCTGGTGTTTGGAATGAAAATTGGAAATTGTTTTAACCCATACTTCATTTTCAGTGTATAATGATGGAATTAATAATAATAGTAATACAAGGAGCAAAAGATGTACATCTTAAAGGCGCTTATAATCTATTTTGGAAACGTTATGCATATGCATGAAACAGCTGAAGAATAATTTTAAGGTAGTTTATAAACAAGTGAAAGATTGTAGCGTTTAAACCATAAAGGTCAGCTCTTGGGAATCAAAGTGAGGGAAGACAGTTACTGAGCGAGAACTCCAGAGAGGGGGTGATTCTTTTCTCCTTGAAGATGGTGTAAGGAGTAGATTGCTGGAGGGGTAAAGAGGCTTTCTGGGCAGTGAGAAGCTTGAGCCAAATTCTCGTGGTGGAATTAGCATGGGTAGGAGACTGGCCTGACAGGAGTAGCTTTTTATTTAGCAAGTATCTGAGAGTGTACTGGAAACGTTATGGTGAAAGCCGGAACGGCAAGGACCACTTGAAAATCTTCACACAGGACAAAACCCCACAGGGGGAACAGACCAGGGGAGCTGTTTTCATTGAAGCTGGAGAGAGGCTGGTCCCAGAGCTCCACTCGCCCGAGTCTTGTCCCTGTAGCCCCTGGAGTAATCCCCCGGGCACCTCCAAGGAAAGTTAGCCTCCCCCCAGGACTCTGTAAAAACCAATTTTGTCCTGCTTCCCACAATGTAGTCTCGATAACATTTGTCAACAGATAGTATAAAATTCTAAAATTTTGAGTTATTTCCTCTTGTGCTATTTGTACAAGACATCCAAATCCATTAAACAGAATCTTATTAGAATGAAAAAACAATATCATTAATAAAATGTTAGCAAGCTCCAGCAGACTTGAGCCTACTTACTTTAAGCTTCATTTCATAGAATAAAAGTCACCAAATGATAAAACATTTGAGTTGGTTACAAATGGAATTTAATCTGTATTCTTCCACGCATGAAAGGGAACTCACTTTCTTGGAAAGTTGGTCTTGGAGAATTTTTTCACTAAGCAAAAGTTGGCTTTTCTAAAAGAGGAGGGTTTAAAGAGGGCCAGCGCCAACCGCTGCCTTTCCTTGTCTGCTTTGTCATTGATTCTGATAGCAGAGCAATGAGAAGGACTTTCTGCTACCTTCACCTTCTGGGGGAAGGATCAAAATATCATTCACTCATCCAATACTGTCCTCGGCACTGGATATGTCTAGCAAGCTCTGGAAGGGCACAATTTAATGGTGGCTGTTTGGCGTGATGTTTGCTTTGGTCCAGGAAAGGAAGCAGCAGGGTGTGTCTGCAACCTGGGGAGAAGCTTCCTGGAAATGTGCTGTAGTTGTTCCCTGGGGCCGCCATCACAGTACCACAAGCTGGGTGGCTTAAACAATAGAAACGTATTGTCTCACAGTTGGAAGCTGGAAGACTGAGACGGGCAGGGTTGACTCCTTCTGAGGGAGTAAGGGAGGATCTGTATCAGGCCCCTCCCCCAGCTTCTGGCGGTTTGCTGGCAATCTTTGGCATTCCTTGGCTTGTCGATGTGTCACCCGACCTCTGCCTTCTTCTTCATTTGACGTTCTTCCAGTGTGCATGTCTTTGTCCAAATTTACCCTTTTTATGAGGACACCAGTCATATTGGATTAGGGGTCCACCTTACTCCAGTATGACCTCATTTTAACTAATTACATCGGCAACGACCTGTTTCCAAATAAGGTCACATTCTGAGGTATTGAGGGTGAGGACTTTAACATATGAATTTGGGGACACAATTCAACACTTAACAACTTCTCAGCCCAATGTTACACCCTACTCCACCCTTGTTCCACCATGGCTGCCCCAAGGCCAGAGTATGACAGAGACTGTGGAATTCCCCCGGGCCACCCGCCCTTGTCTCCTCTTGAGATTGCAGAGCCCTGGCATTCTGGCTTAGAGCCACACGGCCACCAGGCTTTGATAAGGTGACTTCCCTCTGGATTTACACCAATGAACCTCCTTCTCCTCCTGCTGTACAGGGGACAGAGTTAGGCATGTCCACACTGAGGTGAGTGTCAGCCACCAACTGGAGCCCCATCCATGGTTCTCTTTCTGTTTGGTAAGTGCCTGCAGCCTTAGGAGGTCGTGTCCTCCTTTGTGGGCTCGATTTAAAGACAGGCTTGGCACCGAGGTCCATTGGAGAAGTAAAATGGCCTGAGCACATAGCCGCCTCTTTCTTTTTTAAGCTGCTTTAGTCAGTTTCTCATTTCTTCATTCTCCTCTTGAGGATATTTATGTTTGAATAAAGGTTTCCTCCCTCACAGCCTAATTTTTCCATCTGCTTGGTTCCTGCAGTGAAGTCTTAACCCTATGTTTGTTTGTCTTCTCACAGCTTGTTGCCATGGGAATGATTATAAGATGGCAAATTTCAACACTAACTTCAAAGAGCCCTGAAAGAGATGGAGAAAATGGGCGGGATAGAAATGTGCTCTTGGCTGAACACGTACCTCTGGTTATTGGCAAAAGCACAGTAGAAGGAGAGTTCAGAGTAACAAGGGATACATTGATGTTTAAGTATATGTCAAATGGCTCCCCAAGGCAAGCCTCCTCTTATCTACAGAATAATAAGCATTAGAAACCCAGGAATTGGCCTCCCAGGAGGATGAGCCCTGTGATTCACAAATCAAAGAATGCTTTGTGAACAAGTATGGTGGAGAGGTTGAGTTGGTTCTAGAAGTGGTTGGCTTGCTTCTTGGGTCCCCTCAGCCCACTTGAAGGCACACCTGACACCCTGGGAAAGTGTCCTAGGCCGTAGCCTTGGCTCCAAGGTCTTGGGGGGAGATGAGGCACTGACTTGCCTAGCAGTCTGGTGATATTGTCTGTTGTTCCTGGGTAGAGGCAGGGAACATCACGGAGAGAGAAAGGCTTATGTTCTTTATTTTTCCTGAGAAAAACTGTTGCACAATAATTAAATAGCCCATCCTCGAGTCACATATTGTTTGGAGGACGCAGGAGCATGGCCTCCTGGTCAGAGCTGTTGACTTCCAAGCATTTGAAGTGAAATTGCCCTCATTTGCCTTCCTTTTTATCCAGGTGCCAAGATGCCTTGGCTGCTGCAATCAACCTATGACTACATATTTATGTTTGTGGTTTTTAAAGTAAAAACATCAATTCTTCTCTTGTAATTTATTTTTTCCTGTTATTGTCTTTTAGATAAAAATGTATACTCTGGAAGAGCGTGATGTTTTATCTGTTTGGGTTGAAAAGCATGTGGACAGACCAGCCCACTTGGTTTACCATCTCTTGTCTGACTTTACCAAGAGACCTTTGTGGGACCCTCATTACCTGTAAGAATAAATTTAAAATATTTTCTTAATCAACGCTCACTTCATGTAAAAGATGATCTCTACATTGCAGTCCATCTCCACTGCCCAACGAATGACCCATTGTTTTACTAAGTAAAGAGTATTTTTTTGAAGCTTGCTCTGCACAGAGAACTGCATCAGGTGCTATTGAGAGACACAAAACAAAGATTATCATAATCACTTATGTATCATCTATATTGAGTTGACATGCTTTTCCCACATCTATTGTAATCCTACCAATAACTCTTCAAGGTTGGTATTGTTCCCGTGTAACGAGAGAGGTCCCAGACTTGCCAAGGTGGCACAGGCAGTAAAGCCACAGAACCCAAATTGGAACCCAGCTCTGTCAGGCTCTGAATTCCACACTCTGGTACTGTAATATACCATCTCTTGGCTCTTGAGGAAGTGCTTGTCTAGTTATCTTCCAGCTGCCCACTCATGATATTTAATCTGCGGTTCCTTCTTTTCTGTGGAGCAGCACTCTCCGTGAGAGGCTGGGAGGAAGCTGTGTGAGCACCAAGGTGCAAGGTGTCCTTCCTGCTCCTCCTGTCTGAGCAGGGCCCACTCCTGTCAGCCCACAGCTCTTACTTCTGTTCTTTCCTGTCTCCTGCATCCCTAACCCAGTCTCCTCCACTCTCCCTCGTTTCCTGGAACACAAGGAGCTGTGCACCTTGTCACCGCACTGACAGGGACGATTGCTTTCAGGCCACGCCCCCGTCTCCAAGGAGTCCCAGCTCCGGGCTCTTGTGCTCAGGACCTCATGGACACCTTGCTGAAAAGGAAGGATTGGGGAGATGGGCTTCCTATCATATTAAGCATTACCATTTACTTCCTAATCTTGACAAGGTAGAGGGTCATCTTTAAAATGTCTAAAACTTAATGAGATCAATATCATGTAATAGACAATTTAATACTACTAAAGTGAAACATCTCTGGGGTCATGTGTTATGTTTGCATTAGATGCCGGAATGATATGTCCTGGTTAATGCTATCGTAATAAAACTCTCCAAGAGAAGAGGAAACACTTCATGATTTTGTTGCATCAGTATTTGTAGATACTCTATGATACAAAGCTTTTGGCCAGAACAATGCCTAAACTTTGGTGTTAATTCTTTTCAAATGTTTCTCCCAGTGTTTTGTGTGTCACCTGACATTGCAGCCAAATTGAACTTGAATGAATGGAAGAATGAATGAATGAATTCTAATTCAATTTACTTTTCTTGTGCACCTACTGTGATTCAGGTACTGTGCCAAGTGTTTTCACTGAATCCTCACAATAACCCCATAGGCATTATGAGCTACATTTTGCAGAGGAAAAATTAGTGACTTGACTAACATAACATAGCTACTAAGTGGCAATCTGGGATTCAAAGGCAAGTTGTTTGACTGCAAATTTAGTGCCCTTTCCAGTAGATCATATTCCTTTGCCTGAGAGTCTTTCTTGGACTTTCCGTGTAATTCACGTCTTCAAAATATTATTACTCGATCCTAGAGAAAAATAATTTTGTGGAAAACAACTAAATGCCTTTCTCTGAAGCGTTGAGAGCAGTGACCTTAGAAGCAGATGGCCATCATTCTCTCCATCACATGCAGAATTATTCCTTTCAACCAAACAGCTCTTTCTAAAGACAGACTTTGAGAAGTGATGCTGGCTTTAGGAGGATGAGCAGAAGGGTGAACGTGGACACCAATGATGAAGTTTTGCAAACAAATGAAAGAAGTGAGTGCCCTATTCTAGCAGGTAGAAAAGTGCAGCCTTTCTTTCACTGTTCTGTTTACGTAGGTCCTGTGAGGTCATAGACTGCGTGAGTGAAGACGATCGAATATATTATATCACCTGTCCTATGGTGAATGGTGATAAACCCAAAGACTTCATAGTATTTGTATCACGAAGAAGGCCTCTCCAAGAAGGGTGAGTATATGCAGTTCAAGTGTTATAGCAACATTTATAGTATAGAGTAGAAAGAAAAAGTTGATATGAAAATAAGGAAGTCAATATAGGCATTTCTGGTCTTGAATGATATTCATCTGAATTTTTTCTAGATGGACCTTTAGTTATCATTTTTTTTAAAAAACTACCTATTAAGTACCACCTGTGTGCAAAGCACCATACAAGATGCCTAAAGTACTTCCTTGCCTTTTGGTCCATGCACATGCAAAACTGATATTTAGCAAACCTTTGAAACATTCTATTATCAGTAAAAATCCAGTGAGAGCCAAATAAAAAACCAGGAATTGTTTTGGACTTTACAAAGGCTCAGTTGTGCTAGATATCCCAAATGGCTGGCTGCCAGCTAGAGCTGTCAATCAGAGTGTCTGTCTCTGACTTCTCTGTGGGTGCTGGACTTCTCGGAGCATGGTGTCTAGGTTCTAAGGGGAAGTGTCCCCAGAGTAAGTGTTCACAGAGACAAGAAGTGGAAGCTGCCAGGACAGTTCAGGTGCACACCTGGAACTGGCCAACATCATTTCCAATGTCAAGGCTGGCCTACAGAAATAATCCACCTATGTGTGAATATTAATGCACATGGATGTTCATTGTAGTATCATTGATTATGACAAAAGATGTTATAAATAAACTGAAGGTCCGTCTTATAAATTATGGTAGAGCTATACTACAGAGTACTGTGCCATCATTAAAAAGGATCAAGCAGCTTTAGAGGCACTGATACAGAAACACCTCTAAAGATTTATTGTTAGGTGAAAAATCAAATTATAGACCAATATTTGTAAAATGATTATATTTATCTAAATATCTATTATGTGCATTTGCTTACATAAAAATTATATATTTATAAAGAGGTCTAGAGGGATACACAACAAAATGTTAAGAGTGGTCATCTCTAGGATGGGAGTGGATCATGGCTAGGGTGGATTGAAGGAAGACTTCTATTTTCTAGGCTATAGGGTACTCTATTGTTTGAGGGTTCTTTAAAACAATGGGTATTATTTTTTCATTAAAAAAAGAGACTGAAATTGCAACCCATTCGGGCACAATAAAGCCAGTTTGGAGGTTGACTCCAGCTTTGTGGAGTTATACAAAGCGTATGTAATTCTTAGGCAGAAAACACCTGTGGCCCTTATTACTCTTTCCTACGCTTGAGTGTAGCCATAGAGAATGTTTTCTAATGCATACCTCTCATCTAGAAGATCTGGGTCTCCGTAGCTTCACTTCTACCTACATAAGTAATTTGCATTAACTGTAGGAATTTATTTTCTAAGAACCATTCTTCATTTCTCACAAGAATTTAGAAAATGTCCTTTCGTCTTTCAGTGAGACATACACGGTGGCAATGAAGTCGGTTATTCTGCCGTCAGTCCCCCTTTCTCCACAGTACGTGAGAGGTGAAATCAGATGTGCTGGATTTCTCATCCATGCTATTGACAGCAGTTCCTGCACCGTAAGTTGGTGAAACACCTGCAGATTAATTTGCTCCTACAATTTTAGAGAAATCTTTTACCCAGATTTACTAAATAATTGTAATTCTGTAATGTGTATCCACACCAGGGGAGTCCTAAGGTCATCCTTTCCAATCCATTCCAGAAGGTCCCCAGAAGATTAGGAGTGTAGGCTCTCCTACACCAACAAGATTGAGATCCCTGCTTGAAAAGCTTCAAGTTGATAAGAAATTAAAATATTGTATTTTCTTTCTGAAACAGGTATCTTACTTTAACCAGATTTCTGCTAGCATCTCTTCTTACTTTGCTGGAAATCTTGGTGGCTGGTCAAAATCCATTGAAGAGACAGCAGCCTCCTGTATACAATTCATAGAGAATGCTACTGATGATGGGTTGATACGCGGATTTTAAATGGTAAACTTTCAATTACCTGCCATTTGATTTCTCACTTTCAATTCCAAGCACCCTTAGCCCTGACACGTGGCAAGCTTTTGGGCCACAAAATAATTCAATCAGTCTAAGCAAAATGCAGTTACAAAATGGTTAAAAAACAAAATGCATCCCAAGTCAAATACCAGTGATTTGGATTAACATTAAAAGAGCTTTAAAACTGTGTTTTAGATCATTTGTGGCTCTGTTGCCTTCTAGGGTCACAGGCTATGGAAAATTGCCTATATGAATCATCGTGTGTTCTGTAAAATGGTGCAAATTTGGTTAAAATGATCATAAAAATTTTTAGGCTACAGAGGTGAAATGTGTTCTGTTTGAAATTTTATGAAATTTTATAAAATTTTATAAAATAAAAAATGATAAGTTGGCTAGTTGATGAATAGTGTGGGATTATTCCATGTTCAGCCGGTGTCTGTGTGTCAGGAGCATCTGACAAGATGTATTACCTGTGTTAGAGCTTTAAATTAGGAAGACATTAAAACCTAATGGGACCCAATCAATTTTAGTAATAGGAACTACTTTACTAGTGTCATTTAACATATATTCCAGGTGGCTGACCCATTTAGGATCTATTGCTATATATACACACACGCAAAGTACCTGCAAAAGTGTGATATTGCAGAGAAAGAGAATGTTAACTGAGCTCTTCTTTCATAACTATTACATTAGCACTTTATTCCCTAGACTTCAACATTTATTATTCTACTCTGTGTGTGATTTGTCTTAACTCATAAGACAAACCGGGAGATGTCGAGTTAGCCTCCTCTACAGGACAACTTCTAAAAGCTGAAGGACTTCTCCGTTAGAGTTTAGAGCACTAAGGGGTCAGATACATCCTGCTGTTAGTTTGTCAGATCTCTCCCTCTGTTCTCCCTGCTTACGCCACCCCCCATCCACTCACTCACTCTAAGTCTGGTTGTAATTATTCTTATTATCTGTGTCAGCATGTCTTCATTTATATGAACTTTGGACTCCAATTTTATGAATTAACATTTATATACAATAAGAAGAGTGGATATGTAGATTAAAATGATTATAAATTACATTTCAGTAGTAGAAAGAAAGATTTTTGAGAATATTTTTAGATTTTAAAAAGGGAAAAAATGAGCAGTAAAGGGATTACATTACACTAAAATTTTGTATGCTAAAATTTTAGACCTCTGTTACAATTGAAACACTTCCAACTACTGTCTGTCCTAGGTCTTTGAATTTATATTTTTTGAAACTTTTTCCTGAACAGTAACAGAAACATTGTGAAGCTGAAGAAATAGACTAACTTTGGCTGGATCACTTCTAGACATAAAGATGTTGTCCACTCTAATTTATAACACAGGCATAATCTATACCAGCAATATCCAGCATGGTAGCCACTAGCCACATGTGGCCATTTAAATTAAATGAATTAACATTTAAAAGTCAGTTCTTTGGCCACATTGGCCCCAATTCAAGTATTATTAGTCACATGTGGTAAGTGGCTACCATATTAGACAGTGCAGATGTAGAACATTTGCATCATCAAAGAAGATTCTTTAGATAGTACTGGTCTATTCAACTTCTCCCAGTCTTATAATGCAGACAGGTCCTCATGTTTTCTCATTTTCATCTATCTGCATACCAAACTGTCCCTTCTACCTTTTCTAAAAGAAATGCTTCTGATCAGAGACACAGGGCTCACCCATCTGGCTCTTCCTTGGATCAGTCAGCATGGTCGAAGTTGAAGTGCTCACTTTCGGATTACTGGACTAAAGAGACTTGAACAGGGCATGACACTGGAAAAAACAGCAATGCATTCAGGCTTTACTTAGGGTATCTCAAAAAGTTTAAAATCTATTGCCTGAAACCATGCCACAATCGACTAAGGCATTCCTGTTGTAATTCAACAACAGCCCTTAGGCTTACAGGGCTACAATGTAACAACTCTTACATTTCCTTTGTTGGAAATATGTCTGATTGCTCTTTCATTCATTCAATAAATATTTATTAAGAGCCTACTTTGCGTTAGACGCTTCTAGGCACTGTGGGTTCAGCAAGGAACAGAAGCATACTCATTACATCATAAATAAATAATATAGAATATTTAGGAGATAAGTGTAATACGGAAAAATAAAGCAGGGTAAAGGAGGTGGGTGCAGGGGAGGCGTTGGAGGTGGTTGTTCATATTTTAAACAGGCTGGTCAGTGGGCTTCACTGAGGGACATTTGAGCAAACACCTGCAGGCAGAGAGGGACTGAGCCACGAGGATCTCTGCCTGTAGCATGTTTCCCACAGAAGGACTAGCCCCGGCAAAGCCTCTGAGATGGGAACATTTCCGGCACATTCTAGAAAAAGCAGAGACGCTGGAGAGGCTGGAATAGAGTGAGAGATAAGTAAAGAGAGCTGGATTAAAGACAGCCTTCCGCTGCTCTCTTGTGCCCAGGCTTTACGCAAACATGACTGCTCCAAGGGTAAGCAGTTAGGCTGGTTCATCAGCTGTCACCCTCAGCCCCCTGCAGACTAAGGACAGAGGAAACATAAAAATGCAGTCATGCTTATTTTTTCCTTTGGAGTGTCAAAGTATCCTTAAGGAACACTGGAGATTTCATGCCTTTCTTGACGGTAAGGGTTTTCAAGTGCTTCTAACAGGACTGAAAGCTTTTTGATTAAGAAACGAAGCTCACCCCTATTAATTCTTCCTGGTTTTAATGCAACTGAGTTTCTGTTCTGTTTTCAGTTTTTCTATCTTCTTTTTTAAAGAAGAAATCTAGGGGGGAAAATGTGAAAATTGATCTATATAGTTTAGAATATAGTTTATCCTTGTACTTGAACACCTTTAGGAAATGATGAACAATTTTAATAAAAATTAAAAGAAACCAGAGTATTTTTATGTATACCATCATAAGGTTTTTTCGTATTTCTTATTACACATTTCAGAGATAACATTGGAAATTTCTATTGGTATATAGGAATAGTTTTTTGAAAATATATGTTGAAAATGTATATGTTGAGGAATAAGTTTTATGGTTTAGAATAAATTATTAAAATGTAAACTTTTGCATTTGGTCATAATTTACTCCACCCATTTGAAGGTTATGTAACTATTGGGACAGGCAGTTCACCGTGGGCCCTGAGTGGTCTTGCAGGTTCTTGCTGAGTGTGTCAAACTACAAGACTCCTCCATCTCCAGATTCTGAGCAATATCTGCAGCTAGTCCCATAGGCAACTAAGTAGGTCAAGGTGACCACAGAATGACGTCGGTGTAACTGTTCACTCTCTGGGGGGGAAGGGGCCTACCTTGTTTGCTGCTTGCCACAGTGTTTGCAGCTTGCTCAAAGAATGCTGGGCCCTGAGTTCCTCAGCTGTGACGCAAACCCACGTTGTCTACAACAACCATCTGGGCCCATCTGTCACCCTGTGGGACTTAGGGAAAGAGGGAAGCAACACAAATACACTGATATCACGCTGCTTGCTGTGCCATGAGTAATACAGTCCTTTGTCTCTGAACCAGGAGTCTCTGCCGATATCCATGCAATAATAAGACTAGCTTATTAAGAATCTCAGACCCTTCACAGTTCTTGACAGTAACCCATCTCCAGATTCAAAAGTCAGAGAAATATCAGATTCCAAATGCCCTTCTTATTTTATACTGACAACTATGATGTACCATATATAAACTACACCTCTGATGCCGTCTTTCACTTCCTCATTTTGTGACATTTTTAGGGACATTTGAAAGTAGATTAGAAATTAATATTTCTATCATTTCCACAGCTCATTACCCCTCTCCACGTCCTCTCTTCTTTCCTTACCTGGCTTAGATTCCATGGTCCATCATTATAATCACTCCCTGGAAAACACCTGTATCTCTTTCCTTTCTTTCAACTTGTCTGGCAAAACCACAACCATGGTTAAATTATTCATAATATCTTACCACTGCACTGAGCACCTGAAAATTGTGGACTGGTCTCACTTGAAATTTATGACCTCAAATTTCAAAAGGGCATTCAGGACACTGATAATCCTACTACATTCCCCTGTATGTTTGCTATTTCACACTGCCTCCTCTTCCTTCAAACTTCTCATGTCTGCTACCATCCCTCAGTTCACCAACTTTAGAAAATACTTCATTGAGGAAAATAGAAACCATTAGGCAGGAGTCCTCTCATATTCCCATCTATGCACCTTCCCCATCTCTGCCATCCCTCCTATTATAATGGATGAAATCTCTCTTCCCCTAGCAAAGAACAGTTTCTCCAAACTTCTCCAAGGCTTCCCTCCTTCAATTCTCTTTTTTCTCTGCTTCAGAAGTTTCTTTACCTCCCCTGGATTATTTCCGTAGCCAATATTATCTCTTATTTTAAAACAAAACAAAGCAAAACAACACTTTGCCTGATCCCATTTCCTAATTCCCACCCCATCTCTATTCCAATGATCTATAAATGTGGTCTTCACATCCTTACTCCATTCACCTGATCATACTTCTGCCTCCACTACTCCACAAAGACCTCTCTGATCAGGGTCACCTATGTCTTCCATATTGCCAAAACTAACAGCCCTGTTCTTATTTAGCCTTTGACCAGCCTTCAACAAAGTTGACTAGTTCCTTTTTTTTGCCACATTTTCTCCTCTTGGCTTCTATGATGTCATACTCTTGGATGTCCTCCTATGTCACCAATCACACTTTCGAAGCCTCCTCTTATGGTTCTTCCTCCTCCCCCAGACCTCTAAATATTAGACTGCCTAGGGCTCTGTCCCTGGCCTCGTCTTTATCTCCATTCCTCAGTGAGTCCACCCAGGCTCTGAGTTTTAAAAGCCATGTACTTGCCAGTAACTTCCAGATCTATGTCTCTAGCCCTGAACACTCCTGAACTCCACACTGTATATCTAACTACTCACTTGACATTTCCACTAAAATAATAGCCATCTCAACGTCAACATTTTCAAAATAGACCCCTTAATTCTGCCACCTTTCCCTCCATAAATCCCCCTTCCTTCAGGCAATCTTTTCAGCTCTGTGTTAAAAATATAATCAGAACCAGACCCCTTCTAATCAATTACACCACTACAACCCGAATCCGAAACACCATCTGTCTGGATCATAACCTTTCTGTTTCTATTCTTGCCTTTCCCTTCACTCTACTATCAACCC